TTGCATGGTACTTTATTTTATTTTTTAACTGATCCAGAGAAACCTTTGAATGTTCAAACATGTGACAAGAATTCATGCTTCAATTGAATCAATTCTGATCAAAAATATGAAGACGATCTAGACAATGGTCATGCTTGGTCGTAAAGTTATTGATATGATACTTAAAAAGTTGATTTAGTAATTTAATAATTTATTTTTAAGTTAAAAGTATTTTTTTCATTTTTATCAGATTATACAAAACAAGTTTTACTTTTTTCATTGACAAATATGTGTGCTAATATTTATTTTTTAATAATATAATGATATTATTACTATTTTCTTATTTTATTTCTGAAAATTGTTTTTATTATTAACTTACTATGTTTATTAATTATTTAAAATATTTAAATAAAAATAATATAAAAATAGTCTATTTGAAAACTGAAATATTTTTCTGTTTTATTAAACTTGGTATATAATCATATTAAGTAAAATTCACAACATATTATAAAAGATAAATATATTTATGATTTTTTTGGTGTAAAACTGAAAGAACTGAAAACCAACGGTATATATACCAATCTCAAACAAAGTCTATATGGTATTAATATGGTAGTTTTTTTATATACCAAAATACCAAAAAAATCAAAAAACCAAACCAAAACCGAACTATAATCTAGATTGAACACCTTTACTACTACATCATCTTTTTCTGGATCTTTTGTTCTTAAGGAGTAGTTAATCAATAGAGATATCATGAATATTACTGAAGTATATGAACGAAATTTTTCATTTTCTTATCCAGGCAACATGATAAGATTTTCTTTGCTAATTTTGCTAACTTTCCGATGAAGATTTTTGACATATTGTCATTTAAGAATTGGTTGGGACTTCCATTACCATTATGATTATCAATGTATCAATGCTGAATATAGATTGAACTGCTAATACTATAACAAAAAGTAATGTCTACAAACAATGTTGATATTGATATCAAGCTTTTGTTTTTGTGCACTACATGTGATCAAAGCATGCCAACATTAATTTTGCCGATTTTTATTCCCGCACAAAGTGCGGGAGAGTCACCTAGTAATAAATTAATAGTGAGGACTTCATAGTCAATGGGGACAACCATCTCCAAAATCATGCAAATAAAAAGAAAATTTATACACAAAAATAACGTTACATAAAAAGAAATAAATCATCATTAATTATTATTGGTTGCTTAGATATAATGAATTTGAATCCTAAGTGTGAGCCTATTGAGGACACAATGAGAGCAGCGCCCATTGAGCTTCTTGCGGATATAGTTTATCTTCAGTATTACCTTTTATACTAAAAATTGGTCGTCTAGCGTTAGACACCATTCATCTGATCCGATTTATGTCAAATTGGTCTAAGAAATTTGATGTTCGATTTTATTTCACTTAGATGACCGCCTAACTGCCTAATTTATTTTTTATTTTATTTTTATTTTGTTTTTAATTTTATTTTAATAATGTTTTTATCTATTTATTTGATCTAAATTTTGATAAGTGTAACTTATATTCATAATTTTGATAAAAATTATACAATATTAAATATATATATATATATATATTCTATTTCATACCATATTAAAAATTAATATGTTTTATAACATACTACGGGCGGGTTAGTACATGAAAGAATTACCTAATATATAAATAATTATAATGAATATTTTAAAATGTGTATCTAAATTTAAGTTAAATTAATTTTAATTTTCATTCTGTATATTTTATTATTTTTATTATAAATTATGTTTATCTTAATATTGAAAGGAAGATATTACAATTTCATGATTATACATTTTTCTTTAATTCATTGATAAGTTATTTTCCAATAAATGGATATCATACATACAACTACCGCGGTTCAAATATTTGAGATTACAATCTATATTATTATTTGTGAATTGATTTTTTGTTAAAAGTTAGAGTAATTAATTTAATTTTTACCCTTAATGAAATTAATATATATAAGTTATGATATAATTAAAACAAAATTATATTAATAATATTAGATTTATATGTTAGCTTAAATAATTTACTGTAAACTAATATAATAAATTTGGCAAATATAAAAACATTTTCAAAAGATAATTCTTATATATATATTGTGTTGTAATCAAGAGATAATATTATAATTCTTATATATATTGTGTTTTTATATATAATTGATTTTTTTGCTTCTGAAAATAATATTATATTATTAAATTTCAAATTTACTTTATAAAAATTATAATTAAATATTATTCAGTTAAAAACATTTATATAAAGATTTTTAAAAATAATTTAATATGTGATTGTTTTTAAATTTCAGCACAATAATAAACATATATCTTTTGCTGAATTTTTTTGTCAAACTTAAATAATTGGACGTTTTATTTAAACTTTTAAAAATATAATAATAACTTATCATATCATGTTGGTTTTTGATTTAATAAATATACACTGATAAGTACTCATAGAAAGATTATGCCTGCAACTACCTAAAATTAAAATTATATACAGTAGAACCTCTATAAATTATACTCGATAAATTTTCGTCGGTCTCAATTTGGGCCGGTACAAAATTTAACAAAAATTGATAAAATAATAACTTAAAAAAAATCTTTGTATATATGTATGTTCATATTAAATTATAAATTAATAAATTATATGTATACATATTTTTCATAAGTAAGAACTTATCATTAGATTAATGTGATGGATCTGGAAGATGTCTCGTTTCAAGGGAGGTAAAAATGGCGAAAGGACGTGATCAAAACCCCAACGAACAGAATTGTCACGCCAACCTATGTTTCTCAGTCTCTCTAATGCCGGAGATCAAAGATTGCGATGAACCCTAGATTCCAAAACAGTACGGATGAAGGATCTTAATTTTAACGTGGGTCTTTGAAGATATTATCAATGCATAACAACACACAACAAGACCCATATAAATCTCAAAATTAAGTTAATGAAAAGCATCATGTAGTCTTAGTGGACACGTGTTGTAATGTGATACATTGAATTAGTGTCATGACACCCTAGAATGAGGGAAAAGCCTACTTTATAATAATATATAGATTAACAAACTAAAAATTTTGTCCGGGTAATCCTTGCTTAGTCCCTAATTTATCCCAATTTGCTCTCTAGATACTAGATCTAACCTAACCGTCCGACTAGCGCCTAATGCGGTTTCAAAAAGGGGTATCACCTAAGGGTGTCAAAAAACTCATGAGCTAACTCAGCTCAATTTAATTTTTCATCAGTATGAGTTATATTCTTAGGATTATTTAATAAATGAGCTTAATGCTTGAGTTTAAATTTGATCACAAGTTATATGAAAGTTAAATTAACAAACATAAGCTAACTCATGAGTTTGGTTGTTTTTAAACTTAATATATATATATATATATGACTTCTATTTTTCCTATGCAAAAAGTTAATTTCTATATTAATTATATTTATCTTTTAAAATTAAAATGTAAAACCAAAAATCTTTAGATATATATATATATATATATATATATATGTAAAAGAATATTGAATACAATCTTTGTATCATATATCTTTAGAATTAAAATATAAAACAAAATATTCTTAAAATTCTTATGGGGAATATATATGTTTTATGTTTTGAATAGATGAGGACTTTGAAGATGAATCATCTCAGCACTCTTATGTGGAATAGAATTTTAGATCACTGATTTAGTTTATTATTAGTTGTTGGTTTTATTCAGTATTTAATATTAATGTTTTGGTTTTTAATATTTAAAATTTTATAATTATTTCTGTAATATTTTATATTTTATCACGAGTTAACTTATTTAATTTATGATAGAGATGATCTAGGTTCGAATTTAAATACTGAAGCTTGTATAATAAATGAGATGGGTCTAGCTAACTCATGAAAGATCTGAACTCAATATAAACCGAGCTGAGTTTAGCGAGGTAAGTCATTTTGACACCTCTAATATCACCTTATCATCTTACGCTTAAGATGCCACCTGTTTTTTCACATTATTATGAACGATCATCGATCATATTTCGTGGCTGAGGAGGCATTGGCAGATATAAATGTAATTGATTATGAGATTCGGTCTAGGTTTTATGTTTGGTTTAGAATTTGTAAACTATAGACATAAAGGCATTTCCAATGGTTTATCCAGTTTCCTCTAAAAAAGAATATTTCAAATTTATTTTAGTGTAAATCTCTCAAATAGATCTTTTTAAATTTTTATCACAAAACTTAAAAAACTGAAATAATCAAAATAGCATTTTTATTTTGAAAATTTAATTTTTTTTTTATTTTTCTAAAATTTGAAATCCTATCCCCAAAACCCTCACTCCTCAACTCTGATTTGTTAATCCAAAGGGTATAAATGTATGAATCTATAAAACATTTAAGTCTATTTTGGGGATAGAAAATTAGTTGCTTTAATATTATGTCTGCCTTAAATTCTTTGAAATGTTGAGTAGCTTAGTTGGTTTAATGCTAGAATCAATCTGTAAGATGTGAGAAGTTCAAATTTCTCTTGTGATATTTTATATTTTCTTTTTTTTTTTCTCTTTTCGTTACAAAATAGTAGGCCAAAATTTTATTTTGCTTCCAGCCTTTATCCGGGCCGGACCTGGAGCAATGAATTTTTTTTCCAATTTCAAGTCATGTATGGGTGATTTTATTACACACTTGGTGACTCTCCTTCACTTGAAACTTCCATGTATCTTGTGACCAATCTCTTCAACTCACAACAGTACTCTGAGACATGGCCAAATATACCACTCCAGAAAAATTAGATTTCTATCTGACTGTGTGCTCTTTAAGGTAAGCCGATTATCATTCTAGATGTAAAAATTGATGATCTACGTCCCACATTTGTGACACTTTCACCTTTTTTTAGTAACTATGAGATTAAGAGGGAGTAGCACAATTTTCAAGCATTAAACTGCAGATTTTTCCTTCTTTCTCTAATAGACCTTATGAGTCTCAACTTTTATATGGTTCGACAAACTTCTCTTAAACATATATGGTTGTTTTGCTTTGGCAAGTTATAAGGAAAAGAACACAGAGATAAATTTTACTCCGTCAACAGATTTAACTACACAAAGCACCACACTAACCGATATTCTGTATTTCATTATCAATAACTCAAAATCGAACCACCCTCTCTCTTTATAAATAGTTTATGAACTTACCCATATTTACTTTATAACTTTGTTCCTACTAAGTTTGATATGAGACAAGACCACGTCTCTGGAGATATTTCGTCTTCCTATCTTTTACTGTTGTGTGTTGTGGATTTTAGACCATGTCACCCGCATACCTATCTACCCTGCAACAAACCAAAAACAAGTTCCCAACTACTTATTCCCATTGCTCAAAAAAATCTAGCAATGGATAACATTAAGCAAGAAAGGAGATAGCTTCACCTTTTTGTCGACACGTTTATGGGCTGATCATCGCTGCAAATGAAATACAACAAATGTTACTTAGTTTCTTGTCATTGATTGAACATTACAACACAATGCAACAGTATAATTTGCAACTATGAGTTTCTTTTGTAAGCATTAAAGTTCATACAGTCTTAGGGATCAATGTAGTTTGGTTGATCGAAGCCTAGACGTACCTTAGCGGGAGAAGTGGATACTCTGAAGCAATCAGCATTCATCCCCACAAGACACAATCCAGGGAAGATAACCTACACTCCCATATCCAATCATGAGACGCTAAAAAGGTAATATTTTGTGTGAGGCAATTCGTCGAACACATGGAGGAAACTTACATCGAGATGTTTCTGCAAAGTCTTAGTCCTCTTCCGTGGTCGACGAGACGGCCTGTTCCCACTCATGCTGAACACATCTTCTTCAATCTCATCTCGAGAAAGAGCCACCCAGAGCCTGTGATTCTCGTTCTTCACCTCAACGCCACCGCCGCCGCCTAACCCGGGAGACTCCGCCGGAATCCCTCTCTGCCTGTTCGATTTCGCCTCCACCACCGCCACTGGTTTCTGATTCTTCGCCTCCGACGCTCCTCCTCCGCCGCACGCCTCCGCGGGGAGGACGCCGTTTCCCTTCTTCGAACCGCCGCCGCAGGCCTTCCTCGGCCGCAGATTCCAAGTCCTCTTCTCTTCCTCCTCCTCCGCCGACACCGGAGCTTCCTCTCTCTGCGGCGGATTCTCATCGGATTTCACCTTCTTGGGGTGATCGTGGTCGGATGACGGAGGGAAGGAGGAGAAGGAGAGGCGCGGCTGGCGAGTCGATCGTGACGCCACCGTCCGGTTAGAAAGAGGCGGCGTATCCGCCGATGGGTCCGATTTGGGGCCCACATCAGTGACTTGAGGTCCAAGCGTGAAAGCATGGAGAGACTTCTTGTTCGCCGGTGAAGCAGACATTGGGGAGGAGATTGATAACAGAAACCCTAAGAAGCTTGTGAGAAGAGAGATCACGAGGACAAAACCCTAAACAGCTAAGAAGAAAAAGCAGAGGAGAGAGATCTAGAAAGGACGAAGGAGATTTACGGAGAGGGGTGCATGCGTTTGTTTCTAATTTTGTTTTATTATATTTTTCTTTGATTCTTCTTCCTCTTTCTTACAAGTCTTTCCTTCTTTTCTCCACTTTTTTATTTGTTTTTATTATTCGACCTTTCTTTATTAAATTTTATTAATAATCAAATAAAAGTCTATATGTAAGGTTTTTATAGTAAAATTCAGAGAATATGATATTTTTATTTTAATGAAACTAATGTAATAATATACAGACAAAAGGATCTGATAATCAATAATAACACAAAGTTGTGTTACACGATTTTAATGATATATACTTATATAGGAGTTTTAAATTAATATAGTTGAAATCTATTATATGCATTATTTAGCATGCTATAAATTATAAACACCATAATTAGTTGTCAGGATCTTTTAAGAGATTTTTTGTTTGTCGAGAGTTTATTGGCTAATAAATGGACCAACTAATTATTAATGGCGCTACTTAAATAGATATTAGTAATGTTTTGTTTTGTCATTGTTAGAGTAGCAGACCAAAACACTATTGACTGTTTTTGTCATGAAAATGGCAAAATTCTGTTATGGTTTAGGCTGCACAAGTTCTGGGGCCATCTAACTTTGTAGGTTGATTACAGTGTCTTTGTTGCTTTTGCCAGTCCGATAAGTCGATGGGCTTCTCATAATACATATGAAAGCCTTTTATTTTACTAACTCATAGTTCTACTTCTCAGTCTACTATACACAAAATTAGGGCATCCCTTAGTTTCTTGTTTCTCAAGCAAGTAGTCAAACTAAACTACCCTTACTCTTAAAAGACTGAGTGTCATAGGCCCAATAACGTAATGGGCACAGTATGTTGCAAACTTAAAATCAACAGAGCATAAAAGTGGATTTTGAGTTCGAAATACGGTGAGAAGGACGCCACGTAAACAGCTGAGAAATTTCTCGTGTAGACTGGGGATCCTATCAGATCCGATGAAAGTCATATGGTATATTCTATTTGCCTTTCTAATATTATTCTGCTTCTGAGATAAGTGGGTCCTACTTATCTTAATCTAATCACTCATCGTGAATCATGATAGGACCGAACCATATAAATAAATAAATAAAGGAATCGTCAACCTCTTTGCTTGAATCATGATTAGAATTCCTTTAAGGTGTTACTTGCAGTTGTATCAGTGAAGATGTAGAGTTCGATGATTCTTCAACCAGTCCGTAACCAATCGTAAAAACTATATTTGTAGGTGGTATTAGAAAACAATCAGATCCTACATACTGGAGAACTTTTATCTACTATATAGACTAAGTGCATGACTAGTTTTTTCACTACTATCTTTTTTTTTTTGTCATCTACACATATAAACTACATCAAGTGGAAAACAATTGAACCAATTCTCTTAGGAACATCGCTATCTGTCTGGATCTGATCTATATGGAAAAAAAAAAGTTTCTAGTCCTTGCATCCTTAGCTAACGCGTCTGTCTGACCGTTCCGACTCGAGGAATAAGAGACAGGCTCACATCTTCGAAGTCCTCATGTAGCCTCTGGAAAACCTCGATCTCTGTCGCGAAGACTGACCAATCCATCGGATTTGTAGCTATTTCCACTAAATCTGAATAGTCCGTCTCAAACCGTACCAAGATTATTCTTATGTCTCTCATACAGAAAGACTATCCAAAATAAACCTTCCATCTCAATATGCAAAGGTGAAAGGTTTCTGTGACACACCCTTAACCCGAAGTATTTTGAACCTATTTAATTTTTAAGATTCTATCTTAAACCACTGATGATGCCATTATTGATCTATATGATGCATCAATTTAACAAATAGAGATTTGGAACATCCAAGGGGATATTATATCAATCTCTATAATGGAGGGATCGTCCTGATCCTCATTTTTATAATTTGTTTCTTCACTACTATCCACAAACTCATAATTTGTGATTGGTACTAGTTGTTGGTGTTTTCGAACAGTCACACAAAACACTACTAATTGCTCCAAACCGTTTTAAACCTTTTAAACTTAAAAGTTGATTTTAACTCTCGTTTGAAGTGTGTTTCAAATAAAAAAAAAAAGAGTGTTTCAAAAAGAAAAATTACCATTTGAAGTTGTAGACGGTTGCTAGAAGATAAACAAAACTTTTTAAAAAGTTATCTAAATATAAGAGTAAAAATGTTCGATTAAAATATTAAATAGAAATACTAATATATATATATATATATATATATATATATATATATTAAATTTTAGTTTATATTATAAAACATTACAACAAAAATATTTTCTATAATTTTTTAAAAATTAATGATATAATTTTATAAATAAAAATTTTATATTTACTATAATAATTTGATTCTTAATATTCTATAATTCTATTAATGTATATATTGTTAAATTATTATTTAACCATTGATTCATTTGATAGCTAACCAATAAAAATATCTAGTAAATGCACCAATTTGTCATCGAAGTATAAGTCATATAAATATCTTAATTATGCTTAAAATTGTAACCATTCCGGTTACACCAGTGAGTAGGCTTGTTCAATACAGATTTTGATCCGGTTTCGGATTGAATGTTTTGGTTTTCGGTATTTCTTTTATAAAAATTAGCTACCATAATAGAATCATATCTAATTTGGTTTGATTTGTTTTTTATACTATTGGTTATCGGTTTATTCGGTTTTCTACCAAAATATTATTATTTGGTTTGGCTTCATATTAAAAACTAATCGAGTGTTCATAAATAATAAAATATCAAAGAATATCAAATAAAACGATCGATGACTTAGTTTCTTACAACTCTTCTTGTATTCTCTATTCTTCCAAAAAAATCATGTTACCATCTAATTTCACAATTTCTTAAAATATGCAAAATCAAATCAAATTTAGATAAAAGCTAAAGAAAAATACAATAAAATTATTAAAACATATCTTCAGTCGGTCAATTACTCAATGATAAAAAGAAGAAAACTATTCCAAAAGAATATAAGAAGTTAATAATATTCGGCTGCGGTGAGTAATTTTTATTTTATTTTTAAGTGTTTTTCAAAGTAGAATTTATTTAGTGTAAAAGTATGTCAATTAACAAGAAAATTAACTTATATAAAAAATCAGTTATCATATATCGTTATATAATCTATATATTTGTATGTTTTTACTTTGCTCAGTTTTTTTTATTTTATTCGGTTAAATCGCTTATAAACCTAATCATATCTAAATTCTATAATTTTTATAAAATCACATTCATTCGTTTTATATGGTATATACCAAATCCAAAACATATATTTATTTCGATTCGGTTTGGTTCGATATGGTTCGGTATTACCATATTGACTAGGCCTACCTCTTTAAATTAAAATTTCGACCTCAACAAAGAAAGAGTAATTCAAATATTTCCTTCTCCAAAATATTTGTTGTTTCGAATATTCCAACTTGGATATTCCTGGTTTAGAATATAATCTTTTTATTAAAAATATATATACTTCACATGAATTTAATTATAGTAAAATAATGCAAGTTGCTAAATAGTATAAAAAGTTGTAACATGTATGTTAGTTACACATATCGACCGCTCACATGATATTGAAAATGAAAAGTTAAAAGTTAAAAGAAATACAATGTTTTTTATCAACAGTTATGTTTTATGAAAATTTGACTGAAGTGGAGTCACAGCGATAACACTACCACAATTACAAAGTTACATGTTTTGGTCGTTAATCAAATATCTATAATAATAAATTAACAATAAATTTATGAACATACATGTAAAGATTTGTTGAAAAATGGAATATATAGAAAAATAGTCTTAATAATAATAATTCAATTCAAAGGTGTCAAAAAGAAAAATACTGAAGTGCATATATATTGCTACGACTAGAAAATAAGAAAAGAAAAGAAAAATTAAAAAAAACATACGACACAGCAGATATTATTTTTTAAAGTTGTGTAATAAATCCGACCAGATAAACCCCCTTTACATATAACTATTGTCTCTCTCTTCCCCTCATCATATTCCGTGCTTTCGAGATTATCTTCGATCTGAACGACGGCGGCGCAGGACTCGAATTTGAGTCCGATCGGATCCGACTAGAAGATGACTCGCCGTTGTTCTCACTGCAATCAAAATGGACACAACTCACGTACATGTCCAAATCGTGGGGTTAAGCTCTTCGGTGTTCGTCTCACAGAGGGCTCGATCCGCAAAAGTGCCAGTATGGGTAATCTTAGCCACTCCTCTGGCTCTGGACTGAGTGGACTCGGGTCGGGTTCTCCCGGTGACGGCCCTGACCACGGAGTCGGCGACGGTTACGCCTCCGAGGATTTTGTTCCCGGCTCATCCTCTAGCCGTGAAAGGAAGAAAGGTATCTTTTGAGTCCTTCTATACGCGTTTCCAACTTTATGGAACTTTATAAAATCATTCTGACTTAATAATTGTGATGAATACTGCTTTTAGGGAATCCATGGACAGAAGAGGAGCATAGGATGTTCTTGTTGGGTTTACAGAAACTGGGGAAAGGTGATTGGAGAGGTATCTCTAGGAACTATGTGAAGACGAGGACACCTACTCAAGTTGCAAGTCACGCTCAGAAGTATTTCATTAGACAGTCCAATGTCTCTCGCCGCAAGAGACGTTCTAGTCTCTTTGATATCATTCCTGATGAGGTTAGTTTTCTAACATATGGGATAAGTTTTTGTTCTACTTGGTGCTCTAACTTGTGAAAGGGGTCTCCTTTCATGTTGCAGCTTATGGATTCTCAAGAACTGCAAGCTGAGGACATACCCATGGATGAGCAAATGCAGGGGAGTGACTCTGTTCCGGCACCATTGATCCTGGAAACGGAAGAGTGTGAGTCTATGAAATCCACCAACTCTAGCACTGAGGAGCCACCAACTATAACAGCTTCTTCTTCTTTTGGAGCAGAAGACGCCATCCAAACACCTCCTGGTTCATTCCCTGTGCTATATCCGGCTTACCTCTCACCATTCTTCTCATTCCCCTTCTCGGTATGGCCTTCTGCGTATGTTACCGAGCCGGAAAAGGAAGAGACTCACGAGATCCTCAGGCCAAAAGCTGTGCACTCAAAAGCCGCCCCGATCAATGTTGATCAACTTCTCGGTATGTCTAAGCTCACCCTCAAGGAGTCTAGCCAAAACGGTGTATCGGAACAGTCTCTTTCATTGAAACTAGTTGGAGGTTCTTCTTCAAGGCAATCAGCCTTTCATCCAAATCCAGCCAGTGGTGGTGGTTCGGAGATGAACACCGTGATTCATGCTCTCTAAAGATCCGCCTGATGGGATGGTGGTCTCTCAGATTTGTAGCCATAGCCAAGTGACTCATTGTCATGACCATGACTATACAACAACAGCAACAATTTGCAGACAGGTGCCAAGGCTGGGCTCTCGGATTAGTTATTGGTTGTATTATAAAGATTGTTTAAATTAGGTTTGTTTGGATTGCTTAGTTCAGCTTTGTCTATTAGGGTGGGAAAGAAACGAAGATAAATGTTACTGCCATTTGCCCTTAAACTGCTTAGCGTTTTAGGATTTATTATAATAAGTTTTTTAATTTTCTATGAATATATGTTCTTGTGTCTGATATTTATTTTGAGTCCATCGTTCATAATCCTAATCACAAATGTACATACTGTTGGTTGAGAATTGGGAGAAAGAGAGAGTCCCATATGTATCGTTGGGATTTTATCCAAAATAAGAAGCGAACGGCTATGGCCGTCTCGTTGGTCCATCGGACATTAAGCAACATATGTTTCATTTATTTAGTGACCCACATGACTAAAATTAAGATTCAAAAGTCACACAATTGCACACAAACAAACCAAACATAAAAATTTGATCAAATAACTTTGTCGCCGCATATTATTCTTCCATAACTTTGTCGCAGCATATTATTCTTCCATCAGTTGTTTCACGTAGACCATATCTGAGGGCATTTGTCGCTGAAGAACTGATCAACGACCTTGTCTCCAAGAATTGCTAAAGCCTGAGGAGAATTTATGGATATAGGTATCTTGAATTGAGACATAGAAGTACCCTTAGAGATGAAATATTCCATGAGAGAGTCGAACGTGCCTTGTCGCACCACCCTTATTTCTAGAGCTCCCATTGAACCACTTTTACTCCTAAGCAATCTATAAAGAACGTTAAATGATTCCTCGATTGCATAGCAACATTCCATCATTACCTTGTTATCAGGCTTAATAAGGCCACTAAACTTTTTATCTTTAAGCTCCCAGAAAAAAACGTAGTGACCTGGAACTGTGGAGATATCTGCATAGCATGTGAAGCCCATCAACATTAAATCTGAGACTTCTAGAACAACTGCTGCACGATTCAATGCTTTTGAAATGTCTTCTTCAGTTGTTGCTTCTAAGTCGATGCTTAGAACTATATTTTTCCTTCGTACAAATTTGAATTGAGGTGCACTATTGTAAAATCCCGTCATCTGTAGAATATCTCCCATTCTATATCTGCATAAGCCTAGGGATAACATAAAAAAAATTACTTGCGTACTTGAGATCAGAGTATATATATATATATTTTATACATATGTGTGTGTGTGTATATAACGCACCGAAATGATTGGTGATCAAAGGCTCATAAAAGCACCCTAACTTGACGTTTACAAGTCCAACAATTTCATTATTGTTTGACCCATCGACAGGTAGGAACTCAAAGTAGGACATGTTTGGCAAAAATGTGTAGGTCACATCTTGTGGTTTGCACAGAGGATTCAAGTTTGCACCGAACATTGTTTCAGAAGATCCGTAACGCGGGGAGAATAGAGGCAGTTTATTGGAATAAAACTCCAATATTGGGATGTATTGACTCATCTGTCCTGTGATTATGCATTGAATATATTTGACGTTAGGCCATAGCCGTGTGACAATACCTTCCCATGATTTCTGGCTGCATTCTCGCTCAATGAGATCTGCCAATTCAGGTTTAGGTCCTCCAAGTATGACAGAGACAGAGTCTCTGCAACCAAGGTGGGTGATCCACTCGCTAATATAACCAAACCGGATATTATTACAAAATTCCTTCCAGTGACTTTCAAGATATTGGATTGCTTGGACTATCAAACAAGCAAATGTTGCAGAAATACTCACAACCTCCTCTCGCTGGACAAGACCGCAAAGAAGATGGCAGTACATACTCTGTTTGTAATCGACACAGAGTATCACTTCGTCAGGGCTAGTATAACATTTTAATGGCCGGTTCTTGAAATAATCGCTTATCACATAACTTGTTGATAGAGGAGCAACATGCAGACCAGAGGGAGTTGTGGCTAACGGTATACTATTGAGAAACGCCATAACTTTCCCCTCCCTCACAACATTGATGTGTCTATATACCGAAAATAAAAAGATGGTGATGCAAGTCACAATAAAAAAAATATCTACTAGGTGTTTTACTCGTATATGCAGACATAATGTTTTATCAAATTAGTTATGAAAGTAAAATTTATCAATAAAGTTCATCAAAACCATATAAATTCTTTCATAGTTCTAATTAAAGTTTCAAAACATTGTTTACTCAACTTAAGAACTTTATATAATGAGTCGAGCTTGACTAATCAAATATAATTGATGTGAACCGACAAGTATCGAGCACTTTTTATTCATAATAAAATTCTCTGAAAAGTACATTCCACTAACAATAGCCACTTATTATATTATTTTTTAGTAAAAACTTGTAACTGTTATTTTTTTGATATAATTAATGCTTTTTAATTTAATATATATATATAATTTTACTTGTCTATAATTAATTTTAGATAATAACAAAATAATTAATATTTTAGATAAGGATAATATAATGAATAAAGCTAATTGATCATTAAAAATAATTAATAATTAATTATATATAGGAATTCTTATTTTTTTTAAATAATTTTGTATTTTTTTGGATAATATTTATAATATTATTTTTCATCAGTTATCTAATATAGTAAATTTTAAATTGGCTTTTATTTTTTGGCTAATTTATTTTATATTAATTTATAATCAATAATATAATCTAATATACAATTATTATTATTTATTAAGAGTAACAACTATTTTAAACGTTAATATGAGCTGCAATATAATACAGTTTTGTAGACGAAGCTCAGAAAGAAACAACCATTTAATAAACTTGATTAGTTAATATAATATATATGTTCTTTAAATAAAATTTCTCTTAATTATACAAAGATTTTGTAATTTATATAGGGTGGTATGAACTTTAACCGATTTAATTTTCAACATAAGAGTTAAAAATCACTTTGCCAATAATCTTTATATATAAAGAAGAGATTCACTCTCTTCTCCTTCACCCACCTCAGCAAATGATGTCATAAAATATACTCTTTTATATTGTGACATCTGTCCACGAAAGTTAAACAAAACAGAATGATACTTATTGGGCCTCGGCTAAATGTTAATTCGTTAGCCCATTATGTTCATTTTTTGTTTCTGAGACACATAAGTCGATTTGGGTTTCTGAATCTTCTCTCTCAGCCGTCAACCTTTTCGTTCTACTAACTGATCAAACGCAATCGATTCATATACTCGGATCATCTTAACTCTGTCATCATGGGCGTGGACATGCTCCTCTTGGATTCCCAGGTGATGTTTTTTAATCCCCTTCTGTTTTGTTTGATCGTTTGGGTGCTGGAAAATCGTTTTATTTTACTATGATTTTGGGTGCTCGATTTATATATTATCCATCTGATTTTCGTTTGATGTATAGATCTTATAACGATTTGGTTGATAATGAATATTAGCAGCCGTTAGAAGGTATTCTATGTTTGGTTCTACGATCTGGGTTTAGTGGTCGAGATTTAATGTTTTTATCAGTATTGATTTCGTATCTGGTACAATTAGTCAAACATTCACGTTTTGTTTGTTTTAGATTATAGGTTTACATGACAGATTATTATGACTAACTCTGTTCTAAAACAAGGCTATCTGTTTATTTTGATCATTTGACATTTAGATGATGTATAAAAAAAATTCATTTTTGTTCTATTGGTTGCTGAGTTCCTATATAATTATTAGTTTAGTTTAATTTTATGGTTTGACATTATTTTTTATAATATATACCATGTCTATTTTGTGATCATGTTCAAGTATCCAGTTTTTAATAATCGTCTCAGTTTGTCTTAAGATTATGTTCAAGAGTTAAAGTATGGTTTGCCTGTTTTATTTATACGACCCCTGATATGTTACAAGGTTATCTGTACTTTTTTAACCTTTTGACATGTATGTTATGTATAAACAATGACATTTTTGTTCGACTGACTGCTGATAATGGTTGTATGTATTGTTTAGATAATGGTTTACATGTATTAATCAGAGTTCTTTATATTGTCTGAGAGCCACATAAAGAGAACCAATAAAAGTTACAGAGAGATTTAGGCAAAAGTCTAATTGATGTTCTCTCTGATTAAAAACTTTGTTTTGTGTTACAAATATGTATTCACAGAAAGCTGTGATTTTGTGGAGTACATCCAGTAGAGACAGATGCAAAACTTGCAAACAAGGTCTCTGTGATTGCCAAAAAGAAAAGCATAGAGGAAGGAACTGAAGGCATTCGTAGAGATTTCCTGCAAGACTTATCCAACCATTTAGTCTCTGTGAGGAAAACTTATTCTTTACTCCTCGATTCTTTAACTGAAGAGACATTACTTCCTCTATGCCGTTTCCTGCTGCGTTTTGTTTTTGGTATCTAAATTTGAACTTACAAAATTGCTGCTTCCTTTTTTGTCCTTTAGCAGGCCTAGAAGAAGTATGATGGTGTGAAACGGAAGAGACCATAAAAAGAAAAGGATGAGGAAGAAAGAAAGAACACGAGAAAAGGTAAAAACGCTTCCTTTGTTTGTTTCACGACCTAGGGGTTCAGACTGTTGCAGTGTTTTTCTACCATTAAATATTCACTTCTTATCATCACATTGTATGCAGTGTATTGTGCATGGAGTAATGTCAGATGATGTTGCTCGGTTATTGAATTGTTATGCGTTTTATTTCTTCTCTGAAGTGAATGTCTCTCTAATGTTATTAGTTGCTGGATACTCATAAGCAAGAGAAGCGTATATTGAGTATGTAAGCTTTGTTAGGCGATGCTGGTCCAACCTGAAAAGTGTGTTGAGTGAGATATCCGTTCAAACTTTTAAGAACTTCAGAACCCATATGAGGTAATGATTGTGGTTCCTCATTTGTATCGGTGCATCAAGTTTCTCCATCTCTGACCTCCCTAGCTGTTTCCATTGGGTAAGTCGTGCTATATGTTTGTCTTTATTTTTCATTTAGAAGAGAATGTTTGAGTTTGAGAGTTGATTCTTTTGATAATTGCACTTAAAAAGGACATAAACAAGCCACTGATTATTGCTGACATGGAGTTGGAGGCAGGGGAGGAAGACTGGGAAGTGATGCATCTCGCTTTCGTATCAACATAGTGGTGGTTTTTATCATCTAATTATATCTTACTTAGTGGCAGCCAAAACCAGCATGGAGGATTTGTGAGAGGTCGTTAAGGCAGAAGCCAAGCTGGTGGTGGCAAATGGAATAAAGGTGGTCCAGCTAGAGATTGTTGTGCCTAAAAGTAGGATTGAAAATTGAAAAAAGCTCTAACATGCTATTAGGAAGAAGTGTAGAAAACAATAGATGTTGTATTCTTACAGTTGCGGTTATCAAGTGAACGATGCATCTACTAATTGCGAAGAGTGATTTGGATTTTATGAAGAGTAAGCTGCGGTTAAGAGGCGGAGGGTGGAGAGATAGAATCCGGTGAGATACGACGTTGGAAAGAAGAAGGATAGGGAAGGAGAACGATAAGCTTTCTACTTAGTACAAACTTCACAGACTCCATTGGTCTCATTGTTGTTCTGAGGAACAATAGATGCAGCCGTGGTCTAATCCAGAGAGCACATTGCGAGCTTTCAACTTCTAATTATGCGTCTACTGAGAAGTTCATCTGTTTTGTTATTTGCAAATGACTCTCGCATTTCTATATCTTTTTTAATTTTTAAAATTACAATCACAGCTATATTTTACGAAGAGTTGCATGTCTTGCTTTTTTAAAAAAATTTTCACTTTCGACCCTCTTCATTTAATAAAATATATACCACAAATTGCTTTAAAAACAACCGTACAAATACAGTAGTACACATCAATAAGCTGCAGCAAAATAATGTATAACCCACAGATTGCTTGGCAAACAAGATATTAATGTCTGGCTACTAGAAAACCGTCACGCAAACAGGCACACATACGTTTCAAGCATGTTTTAAGCAGAGTTTTTTTTTTGGTAATCATGTATTAACAAGAGTTGAAACTTCAAGCTTCTGACTACAGTAAGTAACCTTCCTAAAATGTAATTAAATCTTAATTGACGGAGGCTACGTATTAAGCATTAACACGAACGACGTGTGCACAATATATATATGAATATAAAACCGTGTAAGATACAACATATAATAAAATCATGTATATTTGAAGGAACAGAAAATGGTAAACAAATAAAAAATGATGAGTTAGAAGAAAGATGAATAGAAAATCTTTTTGAGATGAATAGGAAATTTAAACTCCATGAACATAAAATTCTCTAAAAGTTTAGGAATATGAAAATATAATAATCATAATATTTTATATAGGCTACTCACTCACAAATGTACTTCATATCAGAACATATAACAATCTCTTCATTACAATAAAAAATAAACAAAAAGTAAGCAGGTTTTAAATAAAAAGTGTTTCAAAAAAAAGAACAAAAAGCAAGCTATTGCACAAAAAAAGATGTTCCCACAAACTTATAATATTTTTGAAGTTTTAATATAAAAAAGTTTTTACCTATTTTGGTATATGCTCATGTTTCTGTAAATAAAGTATTCATTTTAGCCAACATAAACTTAACTTAACATGAATCATGATATCTTATACCATGATTCAAATTATTTCTAGATAAATAATTAAAATTGTTGTAAAGAATTAAGCACGTTGGTGCTATTTTTAGTTAACCTAAATTACATTTAAAATAAATTGTATTATTATTTTTTTAACCTTCCGTAGTAAAAATATTCAATAACAAGCATAATTTTATAGTTGCTGGTATAGTTAAACTAAAATAAACATAAAAAGAATTAATAAAAAATGCCATTCTAAATTCATTGCAATGCAACAATGTCTATCATCACTAATGCATAATTGACTGGATTCGAATGAATATAAGATATCCTACATGCTGAGATACAATATATTAGTCGAAATGTTTTCCGTTCCCAAAATACAGTAAGTTGTATTCAGTCTGTCCATTTAAAATAATACATTCGTCACCTTTATTGATTTTTCTTTTTATTGATTTTCTCTGTTTCTTCCTTTTTAATAAATTTACTACTGCGATTAATTACATAATATATAAGCAAATATAACCAAGGAAATATCAAACAAAGAAAACAAACAAAGTCCAAACAATAGCCTCAATTGTTAATAATATCAATTACTAACATTCTACAAAACAACAACAATAACTTTGACAAAGATTTTTTCAAAATGAAAATGTCATTCTCCACTATTTTATACTCTTACAAAAAAAGAATACAATGGTTTAGAAATTTGACTCCCACTCTCTTTTGACCAAATTTCATTGATTTATGTATTTTATTGTTTTAAACTGAAAATATTGTTAAACTTTACGATTTAGTATTAAAACAACAAAAGAATAAGAATTCGATAATTTTTAGTTATATAGTTGAAATTTGTTGCAGACACAAAATCATATTCACACCCAGTCTAACATAAAAATAAATTTACATAAAATTACATTTTTAATAAAAATCGATCCATCAAATCCCGCCCGTAGGGCGAGCCTATCCTAGTGTTATATATATATATGAAGAATTACTTGGATACAATGGCCGAGCATAGATCTTGGATGAATGTGAGATTCTCAAAGAACTTCTTGTTCACGGGAAAGATCTTGAATTTTCCTCCAGAAGTTCCAGAGCTACACACAAACAATGTCATAAGCCCAACACTTGTAAAAAAAATCCTACTCCGTTTGTATATATAATAATTTTGGTTTCCAAAATTCGTAAATGTGTTACCTTAAGATGAAACTAGTAACGGTTTCTCCTGCAATGACATTTGAAGGCTCTCCGTTCGCGATACGCTCAATATAAGGTTTAACGTCATCATAGGTCGCCACTGGTACGTTCTTCTTGAAAAGCTCTTTATCAGAACTTCCATGGAGAAAGTGACGGAGATACTCGGTGTTTGCATTAACTCTCAGTATCTCCTCTAACAAATCGTCTTGTACTTGCTTCGTATTTGACGTCAACTCTTCCAAATCCTTGAGCTTGGAGCTTTGACTCATTTTTTGTTTGTTTTTGATCTCTTGATTTACTGATCAAATACAGGGGGGTTTATATGTAGAGCTTTACAAGATGTATTATTACATTAGGTTGTCTCAGGAATTTTTTAAAAAGATGTCTTAGTGAATCGTGGAATCAGCATCTTCCAACTGCCAAATATACAAATTGTATCACACCAAAAAAGAAGAAATATACAAATTGTATTTGCACATGGAAAACGGAGAAATATAGAGATTATATTCTTAATATATGTAGGGGCCGGTAAGCAGAGTCGGCTTATGTAGAGGACAGTTGGGGACCTAATCCACATGGAATAATACAACTAGACTTTGATATTAGCATAAATTTTTAAATATATAATCAATTTTTAGTATTATATATTGTATAACCCTATAGTTTTATAGGTTAAGTCTTTTATTCGACATTATTATTATATAATGATTTATTTTATACAATTTGGTATAATAAATTCATAATATAAAATAATTTAATAGAAAATATAAAATCTCCTTCAGAATATATGTTTTAAACATTCTATAGTTTGTATAGAATATATTTAAAAATTCTATTAATTATACATAGAAATGATAATTTACAATTTATATGTGTTATTTAAAAATATACTTTAGCATTTATCATTATAGTATATTGCGAGATTTTATAAGTAAACGCACTGTTTAGTTTAAGTAATATAGCCTTATTGTTTTAGTATGTTTTATACATAGAGTATCTATCATATTATTATAGTATATTTTTATCGATATTTGATATTTTTGGATGTTATGATATTAAGTTTTATTTTTATTTTTTTTTTGTTATTAACTTAATTTTTCAAGATACTATACCACTTTGATTTTTACAACATATTTTTTTCTCATGTTGCCTTTTATAAATATATACTTTAAATTTTGTTTTTTATAAAAGTGACTCAAAACTCCAAGTCAAACACAAAACTATTTTTTTTGGACATTTCATTTGTCCAATCTACTCCAGAAGTTCTGATTATTCACATAAATGCCATTCATATTTATTTATTTTTTAATTTTGAAAATGATTGTTTCACTCTCTCATCCTCATCTTCATCAATAAATAACGAAAATGCCATTGCCATCAATTCACCCAACAACCATGAACAACCAAAATGAAACTCTTAATGCATCTAAAAAATGAAATTTACTCATTCATTCATATATCTTATGCCCAAAACCACATCTCTCACATTTTCTATCTATATTTATCCAAAAAAATCAAGTTTTTCAATTATAAAGTTTTTAAAGGTCATATAGCCACTCAAGCTCACGATTTCTGGTCATTAACGATTGAGTAGCTGTTCTGGTGAAGTTGTGTGTGCTTGGAGAACTAAACAAGATCTCTCAGTGGTTTTTGAAGGTATGAATTGAATATTTCCCAGATTTGTTTGCTAGAAGACTTAAGTGTAAATCTTCGTAAGTCTTCTCAGCCAAGAAGACTTCCACGTCAAAGAATGTGTTAGTTTTGCAATTGATTTTTTTTGTGTGTGTTTTTAGAGAAGGCTTTCGTTGAAGTTTTACAACTTTTCTTTGTTGACAAAAAAAAAATCGAGAAGACTTACCTTGAAATCTTCTCGAATAAAAATGTTAGTTTTGAAATTGACCAATCTGTGTCAGAAATTTAACTTTCTACGGAAGACTTCCATGTAAGTCTTCCGCTTACATTAAGTCTACTCTTTTTAACTATATTTGAATTTTGTTGAGAAGATTTTCAAGTAAGTCTTCTGCCCGAAGAGTTACCTGGAAGTTTTCCAGATTTTTATTCTGTGATTCTTGTCAAGCCTAAGGTAATCAAAGAAGACTTACCTGTAAGTCTTCTAGCGGAAGACTTACCTGAAAGTCTTCTAAACAAAAGTCAAATATAGTCAATTGCAAAAGTAACCTACGTAGACTTACATCGATAACAAGTAGAATTAATGTAAAGGTGAGAAGACTTTTAGGTAAGTCTTTTAGCGAAAGACTTACCTGGAAGTCTTCCGTAGAAAATCAAATTTTAGACACAGATTGGTCAATTGCAAAACTAGAATTTTTATCCGAGAAGACTTCCAAGTAAGTCTTCTCAGGTGTTTTCGAGAATTTTTGTATTAGAAAAGTAAGCCAGTATTTACAAAGGAAGACTTCCTTTACAAATTTTCAAATGAATAAATGACCTCAATGGAAAACTTATCTGGAAGTCTTCCGCCAGAAGACTTACCTGAAAGTTTTTACCGAGAAGACTTCCAGGTAAGGTTTCTACGACAATGTATAATAAACTTTCATTTTCTTCAAATTTACAATTAATTCATAAGATTTTATTGTTAATTCATGTGTTTTAAACAGTATTTGGGGTCAATGAAATTCATAACTTAGTTGGTGATAATTACGAGGTTATTAATATTCATGTTTTTAATGTTTCTAGCTAATATGAGAAGACTTATTAAGAAGTCTTCTCGCAAAAATCTTCCGTGGAAGTCTTCCACATTAGTTTTTTAAAGTTATATTTTTAAGAATATGTTAAGTAATTTAAGATAAGTTTTTTAACTTTCAAAAGTGTTAAATAATTTCAAGAAAATTACAATGTGTACATGAAAATGAAGTTGGAATAGTTAACCTACTCATTATATCTTAGTTGTTTATAATTACAAAATTTATTAGTTTTACTTCTTAAAAGACTTTGTTGGTTTTACTTCTTAAAAGTTAAAAGTGATGAACAACTATTATAAGTTAAAGAGAAGAAGTTGTTTATAGTTACATACTTTTTTTTTTTTTGCAGAGTATATGAGATCCAAAGATGAGAAGAACTACACAATGAACATCATGTTTTGAATTTGAAAGCAACTGAATTTTTTTATTTCATTGATTTGTAAAAGTGGAAAACAGATTGTTAGCACATATATTACATCTTGAGAAACATCATTACTGCTTTTACAAAAAATAGAACCATACTTTTATTCTACTCTTGTTTACTTTAATAACGTCATGTAGTTTTGGACAATAACCATATTTTTCATTAATATTTCTTACAAAAAGATCACAACAAAAAAGTACACATAAAAATCACAAAACAGACCACAAACAAAACTATTATAAATCATTCCTCCACAAAGACAAGTTTGGACTCCACTTGATATGAGAGAAGATGCCAGAAGACTTATGACTACGTCAGAAGACTTAAGACTATGCCAGAAGACTTCCAAGAAAGTCTTCTGATCGTCTTCTGTAAGTCTTGCAATGTCTGACTCAGATTTAAAGAAAACCTGAAAAACAAGATAAATTAGTAAGAAATACATAGGAAAAAAGTGAAATTGATATAAAATTTGGTGTTTTCATGTTTAAAGAGATTAAAGAGAGGTTGGAGAACTTTAGTTTGAAAAAAAAGATAAGAGCTTTATGCAACAAAAGATTACTAAATGAAGAAAAATCAGACATGAAAACTTCATTATTTCATCAAAAACTTGATCTCCACCTTATTACGACTATCAGGTTGGATTCAGAACTTACTCTACAGTTCCGCTAGAATACGTCTGAAAATCCAAAGCAACAACACTTTTATGGAGTCATCATTGATGTCTTTTCGTGAAAAAATAGAAATACTAGAGTCTTAGCGCGGATAAGTGAATAAATAGTTTAGTTTAGGATCATAATTTTCAATGTTATGTTTGGATTGGAAACACTATAATTTTAAAAAGTATGGGAAACTTGGTGATTATTAAGTGTTTGCAATTCTAAGAAAAACAAAAAGAATAGCTTAAGTGATCATAAATAATGTAAGAAAAAGATTATGTCTTTTGAAGAAGAGAATGAGGTAGCAATGATGTGGACCATATGAAAGAAATAGCCTGTAATTAGTACAAATTAAGTTAGTTAACTCAAAATTAAGTAGAGACGCAGACATCTTTATATATATATAATAAAGATACATATCTGGCATAGCTGGTTTGGAACTCTGAGTAAGTCATTATATATGTGATTATACCTTCATTTGATTGATAAGCTGGCCAGTGTAAATCTATTGAATATTTATGAGAAGATCTTTAATTAATGGTGTGAGTGAAACGTCCATATATAATTAAACATACCTCTGTGTGGAAGAAGGCCTTGAAGATTTCTTTGTATACTATGTTCTTCACTTTTAGCCGATGTGAATCGTCACCTTTAATGATTGTTAATTCTGCTTTGCTTGTTACACGTGAGAGGGCCACATAAATTTTTGACCATGAGCGAAGACCGGTTTAGTTGGATATAAGATGACCTCTTTTAAATTTTGGCCTTGGCTTTTGTTGATTTTCATTGCATACACAATCGAATAGGGAATTGTCGTCAACGTAAGGTAAAGGGTGGCTTTGTTTCATCATGCAAAAGAACAATCCTTGGGATCAAGACTTCTTTTCCATGTGTGATCCGGTGATAGTTTGTGCCTTCAGCACGCTATGTGGGTTAGGATCATACGGGTAACATTGCATAATCATTTTCTTTGATTTGTGTTTCTCAGCAGCATAATTGGGGCACCATCTTTGAGAGTGAGTTTATGCGAAGGAAATCTTGGAAAGTGCAAGGAATTAAGGTACTCAATCGCGTATAATATATCATTTTGATCTGATTGAGTTTCGGAGATCTCAAAGCTATCGTAACTAAAGTAATCTCTTGACACCCCGTCAGTCTGAGAAATGGTATAAGCATTGATTTCATCAACGGTTTGGTTACGGGGTGTGAGCATAACCCTATCAGTGTATGAGCTTCGTGGAAGTCGTGGTTTTGTTGACTTATCCATAGGTAGCATCGACAACTTGTTTTAAAGGGTCATCATATGTCCGGCGAATCAATGAATTATCGACAGTTATCATCTGTTCATTGTAGTCCTCATACTCATATTCCGATTCTGGTTGTGAACTACCTTCCCCAACCTGAAGAAGACAGTCGGAGAACTCTTTTTCGTCCTGATTGACTCTCATATTTGTTTTTAAAGAGAACTTGTGGCAGCTATCCCATAGGTATGAGTGACTTATTGAAGCCGTATCAGCTCTATTACCTTGTGGAATTATAGGTAGAATCTATCTAAAATCACCATCCAATATATCTGTGATGCCCCTTTAACCAAGCCACTGCCTATGAGTCGCCGGCTCATTCTTCAACAGGCACGCGGTCAGGCCCAGGCCTCCTCCCACTACTTGGGAGCTTACGGTTTCATGTTCTATTTCACTTCCCGATGGGGGTTCTTTTCACCCTTCCCTCACGGTACTACTTCGCTATCGGTCACCCAGAAGTATTTAGCCTTGCAAGGTGGTCCTTGCTGATTCACTCAGGATTCCACGTGCCCCATGCTACTCGAGCCAGAGCATAAGCTACTGATGCTTTCGGCTACTGGACTCTAGCCATCTAGGGTGTCTGATTCTTTGCGGTCGAATTTTTCCTAGACATTATATATTTCAACGTTTCAAAATCATGCTTATGTGTCATAGATGCTTCGTCCCAAATTACAAGATCTGTTTTCTCGATATAATAGATAACATATAAATTTGAAAAATGAATGCCAAAATACTTAACTTAACATAAATTTGGGTTATCTTAAATATTTTGACAAAAAAAAACAATAAATATTTCAAGTATTTTTGGTATTTGGAGAGTCGTTTAGCTATTTTTAAAATGTACATTTAACTATTTTATATATTTCTAAATATTTTTGAAAATTTTAAACATCTCATGTATTTTGTATATTTTTAAATGTTAAATTTAAAAATAATTAATATATTTAAGTGTTTAAATCTGGTTCGAGTACACTCGGATACCTAAAATATTTTCCTTCAGTTTTGGTTCTCTAGATACCAAAATTTTGAATCTGTTTTGATATCTAACCAATTTTGGTTAAAGATATGTACTACTTTTTGGATTAGATTTGGTTCGGTTATTTGGATTCAGTTCTTTTTCCCAACCCTATATTTTTTATTGTAACAAAATTTACAACGAAAGGGATGATGGTTCATAATGATTTTGGTTATGCAACAATTTTTAAACCAAAACACACTCTATTATGTACGTGATCCATTTAGTTAATCATTAACAATTGTTTAAGACCCATCAAAAACGATTAGTTCAACTAAAAAACGTCACCATTGATTTCAAAATATCTAGTGTGAAACTTTTACCATTTTTAGTAATCTATGGTCGTTTTAATAAATTCAAAATATAACATATAAGAAAAAATCTAAATTTTTTATTATATGATTAATATGATTGTTTAATTTCTTTTAATAATATAAAATTAAATAAAGATTAAAGATAATAAAAAATTGTTATCAAATCTTTATTATTCATAATCATTAATTGTGATATATATGTTAATCATATTAGGTAATTCCATAGCTTTTAATTAAGAAAATAGTAAAGAATATTTTTTTGTACACTACTAATTAAATATGATAGTTAGTTTAATAAAAATATAACATATCTTTAGTTGGACCAACATATTTCTCTAAGAGTTTTGAAAATCATTTTCATTATGACAAGTGGCTACAAAAAAATTTGTAATGTTCCAGGATTAATATATAAGAGATTAATCATTTCATGTTTTGTTTTGTGATATAAATGAAAAATATTTTAAGAAACAGTTATTACCTATTTTATTTATATTTCCAAAAAATAAATTTATTTTATCATTAGATTTAATATCAGAAATATTTTGATATATATAATATATTTACATGTTTTAAAAATTTTGGTTTAAATAAGCTTCGTCTTAGAAAAATAAGATAACAACCTAAAACATGATAAATGAGTTTAAAAAACATACTATAACATGATTAATTTAGCATAAACATATTATACACATTTGTTTTATACTGGACGTTGGTATGGACCATACCGTATGGTTAACGTCCGTTCAAGCTCATTTTTATGTCATACCAAAGATTGGTAAAATAAATTTACTCATGATTTATGTATGTTTAAATCACAATGATCTAAAAATTTGTATTTATGATAGCTATATTCATTTAAGGAAAAATATTTCTTGCATATATCGATTAGGTTAATAGAAAATGAGGGTTATAGGAGTTGAAGATGCTTTAAAGCTATGACATTGTATTTAAATGTATAGGCATGATAGTATCTATACTATAAACCATAACTAAACATGATTAATTAACTAAAGAAGTGGAAAATATCTTCATTCAAATTAAAAAAAAAATTACCTAAATAATTAAAAGCAGCAATTCTGATTTTGGTAGAAAATCTGGTAGAAAATAAAAGATTTAATACAAACCATAGCTTAAAAATATTCCAGTAGTAATGTGCTGTAATTACTTTCAAAATAGAAGGACACTTAAAAAAAATGCCTTCAATTTTAATAGTATACCCCTTCACATATTTTTAGCACATCACCCATATATTTTGTTTTATTAGACTTTCTAGAAAATAAATAAAAACATTTAAAATTGATGAAAAAGTCAATTTAAATTGAAATGGATTTTAAGTCTTCAACGTGATTTCGAGTTTCCACTCAAATTTATTCATTATTTGTATCTTTTATTAAAAAATTCTTTCCAAAAAATTACCTGCTTAAAAATTAAGAAGAATATTTTGGTATAACATCACGTAAACTGAAATCATCTTAAATGGTTTGTCATTCCCAAGTAGTATAACGACAAAATATATCATGGACCTGTTAATATGTTGATAATTCATCTAATAGAAGAAAATTAAGATTAATGACTTCATTTTGGTTAGGATTTTTTTTAATATCCAAATTTGAATGACCTTCCTAACATGTTGACAACATTTTATTTGAATATTTTCTAAGAATTGTAACCAACTGAGCACAATTTTTTTTCTTCACTATTTTAATAAATCTGTGAAAGATTTACAATGAGAAAATTATAGACATTAACTATTTATAGATTTTCAAAGATCTATATAAAAGTCACAAATTTTAGATTTGAGATAATTATTTTAGGATAGTACATTTAGAGTATATTTTAGATAGACACATCATAACAAAAAGAATCTCTATTGCATAATGAAAAGATCCATAATTATATAGAGACACTTATTGCAATATTTTAATGTTATGCCCACGTAAATATTTTCCAATAACTCTTTGAAAAAATGTTATGCCCAATAAATATTGTATACGGTAAATGTACTATCCTAAAATAGTTATGCCCTTGCACGAATGTTATTGGAAAATACCAAAGAGTTGCATGTTTTAAAACACAATCTTTCACCTTAACTGGGATTTATAACCTTTCACATTAATTGAGATTACTATTATTAATAGATATGCAAAAAATTACTTGTATACAATGGCCGAGCATAGATCTTAGATGAATGTGAGATTCTCAAAGAATATCTTGTTCACGGGGAAGATCTTTAATTTTCCTCCAGAAGTTCCAGAGCTACACGTAAACAAAGTCATATGCACTACACTAAAAAAGATCCCAACTCCAATTGTATTTATAATAATTTGGTTTCCAAAATTCGTAAATGTGTTACCTTAAGATGAAACTAGTAACGGTTTCTCCTGCAATGACATTTGAAGGCTCTCCGTTCGCGACACGCTCAATATAAGGTTTAACGTCATCATAGGTCGCCACTAGTACGTTCTTTGTGAAAAGCTCTTTATCAGAGCTTCCATGGAGAAAGTGACGGAGATACTCGGTGTTTGCATTAACTCTCAGTATCTCTTCTAACAAATCGTCTTGTACTTGCTTCGTATTTAACGTCAAGTCTTCTAAAACCTTGAGCTCGAAGCTTTGACTCATTTTTTTTTGTTTTTGATCTCTTGATTTACTGATCAAATACAGAGGGGTTATATGTACACCCTTGTAAGAACATTAGGTTGTTTCGGATATTTTTTTTAAAAAAATGTCTTAGAATTTAAGTAATAAGAGACGATTTTATTCTTGTATAACTCAGTGCTTAGGGAATCGTGGAACCAAGCATCTTCAAGTTTTCAACGGCCAAATATACAAATTGTATTTGCATATGGAAAACGAAGAAATATAGATTATTATATTTAATTTTATTATATGTAGGTGCCTGTGTAGGCAGAACCTCATGTTGCTTTGAAAGTCTACTTGATTAGAATTTTCTGTGTTTTTATTTGAGTTGTCGATTTGATACAGAACACATCTACAGCAGTGATAGTAACTCTAATGAGGTTTCAGCTTGCCTCAGAGATTTTTTTTTTGGTTTATTATAAAAATCCAGTGGCTAAGCTTCGTGAGTGTAATGTTACTCCAGAGAACAAAGAGTTGGTGTTTGACGTGTATATACAAAAACAAAAACAAGACCGAAATTGTCGTTCGTTATTGCTTGTTTATAAATAGAGCTGAGCTTTTCTCTCATTTGTAAAACTATTGTTTGACTTTCTTGTATGTTGATATATGGTGTTTTTAACATATTCTAACAATATTTTCTAAAGTGTTTTTAAGTCTTTATCGAGTCTTTTTAATCTTTTTTAAGTCATTACAGGTATAGAGTTGCATTTGAATGGAAGATAGACCAGTTGGAGAAAAAGATTGCAATTTGATGATTTTCACGAAGAACAGTCTGCAAACTGTTTCCGAGTGAGCGGAGCAGTCTGAAGCGCCTGTTCCCGCGGCAGATATTTTTAAGGAAATCTTAACTTATTTCGGGATTCGCCCTAATTCTCCTATTTTTCTCTCTCAGCCGCCAGCAGCCTCCATATATCTTCTTTTCCTATTTTCTACAATATACTACGCTACTTTTTACACCAAAAACCAGATTTGAGGTTTTGGAGATTTGTGATTTCAATACTTTGTATCTTTGAGGGAGAAGGATCTCTACAACCTTTGGAGAAGATTTCTAAACCCTCTTGTTTATTATTTATTGATTCAGACATATTTTCTTCATCTCTAATCTCTGTGTTTTTTGCTGTCTATGGCTGAGTAGTCGCTTGTTAGGTTTAGTGTGTTAGGGATCATGGATCAATGAGCTAGACACAAATAGGATTGTTATTCTTTGATATCTCTATCTATTGCTATACTTG